GTAGTTATTTATTAATAACTATATATATATATATATATATATATATATATAAATATATATATATATATTTGTGATACGTGATATGTGTATGTGTATGCACAGATAAGGGAATTTATAAAGTATGCAACAGACGTGTATTAAGGTTCGAGGGTCTTAGGGTTAAGTAAGACCCTGAACCCCTGTATATTCCCACCACGCAACCGATCATTATCCACAACCAGCGCATAGCACATCCCTGAAGCTTGTTGGGTCATTCTTACCACTTTTGATAAGTCAAATATAAACATAAACGGACGTCTACATATCCAAGCTATATCCAAGTTATTTACACCCATAGTTATATTATATATAAATATAAATATATATATATTCGTACACACGCACATATATATATATATATATATATATATGTGTGTGTGTGTGTGTGTGTGTGTGTGTGTGTGTATGTATACTTATATTTATACTAACCTCAGGTAAGTAAGCAAGCTCCCACCTACTAGCGCCATCCTCCAGCCGTCCACTGACCACAATCATTGCATCAAGCATCTCCAAAGCCTCCTGTGCCAGTTGTATTCGTTCGTTATTGTTCCCTGAGCTGTCCCTCGCTGCACTACTTGGCACTTGCCCTTCACATCTCGTATCTAGGTCTAAATTATCTCCTACACTGCTCGTGACTGTGTCTGGAACATCCCTCACGCCGCCTGTGCCTGCACTCTGGTTGTTACGGGTATATGACTCACTGCGTATGTGTGTATCCCGGTTTGCGACCCGGTTTATACTTCCCTCTGCTTGGGTTCCTGCTGTTGTACTGGAAGTGCTGGATGCCTGGATGTCACACACTCGTAGTACTGCGTGTGCGTACAACGCACCACAGAACATGAAGCACAAGGCCCAACTAACATCCGTCCAGCCGGAGGGGCTATGTAGTTGTAACTGGGCTAGACCTGAGGTGTAATAAACACGTGTACCAATTCAAAAGATGTTATTGGTGCATGTTCTGTTCATATGTGATAGATATATGTAGGTGTATGCGCATCGCATAGGAATACGAACTGTACTCGATAAAGCGATTAAAGCTGATCTACATTAATCATCTTACTAATCCTGGCATGTGGCGTAACGCTCCGATACGCATTGGAAGGAAAACTACATCGTGTTACTGCACCACTGAGAGCTTCAGGGGAACATCAGGGCGATGGCCCATCAGCAGTATAAACCAGAAACCCTAAACTCTTCCATAGATACTGGAACCAGCCAAACACTTCCAGAGGTACTAAAGCATTAGTACTAGAACATACTCGAGTAAAGTCCCTCATGTACTATCCCTGTTGTCGCACTGCACACTCAAGCCAGGTATCTATAGCCCACGAGCACACCAGGAACCTCCCCACACCACTATACGGCGCATGGTTATGGTCCCTTTCTATTCCATTGCACCCATACATTAGCCTTGCACCTGAGCGCACAAGTGTGTGTATCCACCCATACACACGCAGAAGACGAGCATAGCCTACCATAGACTACCCTAGTCAAGCCGTGCCAGGCTTCTAATCCGATGTCATCATACACCGCTTTCCAAGGCGAACGCAGATTCGTGTATGCATAAATAGTAATTAAATACCCCGAGTGCATGCATACACATGGTTATGAAGATGTGCATACCATAGAACACATAGGCAGCATCCATTAGTTCCTGTCTCGTGCCATGGGCATAGACCAGTGCAACATTCTCCATCGCGCGTATTGCCTTCTGATCTCCCAAAGCGGACCAGACCGCTCTGTCCAACACAAACGTTTTGAAATCTCGCCGAATAACTCCTTCTATGAAGCTCAGCTGCTCTGGGGTGGCTGTATGATATATGGGTAAATGTCAGTCTGCGCGGGCTTTATTATATATATATAAATATATAAATATATATGTATA